ATAGATAATACATACCTAATTCTGTAAAGACATAACGGGTTAAAAATAATTAATAATTTGGAAATAAATTTATTCAACAGTAGTAAACGAAATCTACTAAATACAAATAATAATTGTTTATCTTTCCTGAAAATAATCATCTGAATACCCAATGACTACCTACGAAAAATGCCTTTCTTTTTTTTGAGAGCAGTATAATAGGTTACACAAGGACTACGGACGTGGTTTGAACGCTGGAAGAATGCTGAAGTTTTATTGAAATTTTTTAGAAACTACCACGAAATGTGGTTTGGTTCTCGACGGGCTGATGGTATGTCGTGAGAATGGAATGTTACTTATTAAAAATGAATCTACCCCAATGGCACCAAACATTTCTGCAATAAAAATTTTAATATTCTATAATTATTGCTTGCGGCAATTTCTCTTAACGCCGTTTTACACGATGCAATAAATTTTACAATAAATTGTGCGATGTATTGTCGGAAGATATTGTGAACCTGGCAGTTTGACCTTGGGGTTTTTAGACGATACGATTTATTGCACAATTTTTCATACTGCCAACTGATAATTCCATTTTCTATTTCTACTAAACAAAACAGAAGACAGAAGTGTATAAACATAACCTAAAAATGATACACCAGGCGGGAACAGGAGTGAACAAAAATAAATTAAAAACCAATATATTAATCGTCACTTGCTTTTGTAATTTTGTCTTAAAGCCTCACTGTTGGTACCACTGAAATTGCATAAAAATTGCCAGAAAAATAGAACCTTCTCTAATTTCGCAATTTATTGCACAATTTCTTGCCAACTTAAAATTGCAACAATTTCGGATATTACACGATGCAATAAAATATTTCGTAATTTATTGTGAAATTTATTGCATCGTGTAAAACGGCGTTTATAATGAAACATTTTTGACACATTTTTGAAATATTTTTGATATATTTCAAATTATGTATCTATTTTTAAATACTTAAAAATTTTTGAAATAATCTGTTTAATATATTTATTTTTTATTATTTCCTAAATGTTGCTAATATAGCTTGTATCATATATTTATTATTAAATATTTTTTGTCAATTATTTCTTAAATATTTTTAATTATATCTTGATACATTCCTAAAATTTTTCTTAAATCTTTGCAATACCCTGGAAACATTCTATATTACAGCAATGTATCATACATATTTCAAAAATATCTGATGCTACTAGGGTATTCTCACCTCAAAGTTGATGGGAGGGGCACTAAAACTAAGGGTATACAATAATAAAATTAAAAAACTACACCACCATAAAAGTTAAAACAAAGGTGGTGAAACAGGGAGGAGTCCTTATGTAAAGGTAAAATATTTTTTACTGTCTTATCTGCTTGTGTTTCGCAGTTTGCCCCTTATTTACGTCATGATATTCAAATTCCCTAATTTGAACAACAACGCAGTAAGCACATCATAATGATCGCATCAGATACTAATTCTGTAACAACCACATGCATTACAAATTACAACATCCAACGTTTGCCAATCGCCACTGTCTTCTGTCAAATGCTCACTTGTTGAGTTGCAAGTCCGTTTTGAAAATGGTGTCATTCGTATTTTCTATACCTGTATCAAATACAGTTTACGAATGTGTATTTAGTGTAATTAATGAAATATGATCAAGACAGAAATCGACTGTACGAGACTTACGTAAAATCGGAAATTCACGTATGTAAAAACTTCAAATATTCTTGCAAAAAAAACTAAAATCAATTTGTGGGAATGAAAACTGTTTTTAAATAAAAAAGGAAAATGTTTTCATTGTTTTACACCGAATATCAGTTATCTCATGTTTTCAAAGTGTGACTATTGTATCAAATTAAAGTATATTAAAAAAGTGATTTTCTTTAATTTTCCAAGCATCTACCTTCAACAATTTATTTTCCACCAGGCAATCCTAGTGGAGGCTATTTATGGCCAGGTTTACAACAAATTTCTCACACTTATATTCCGTTATATTTGAAAGATTCTGATGAATTGGTATGTACCATACTCATCAGCTTAAAGTCACCACTCACCACCTTACGAGATGCTCCCTTTTTAACACTATTTGTAGTGAGGCATGCCAGCTGATGAGAATTGTATGTTTTCGTCAGGTATGAAAAAGTCCCACACTTGTATACTCTCATATCTGAAGGATTTCGATTCATCGGCACGCGATTTTTAAGAGCATCTTTAAATATCGTATAGAGTGAACAAGTTTGCCACTTCTATACTATTGCCACAAAAAATATTTTGCATCCGAAAGTTTCTGATGGATTGGCATGTGCAATTTAAGTGAACCTTTATGTCTTGTCTGAAATGAACATGTTGTACATTTGTATACTGCTACATCTGACAGATCTTGATGAGTCAGCAAGTGCCTTTTAAGGGTATCCTTATATTTCGACTGGTATGAACATTTTTCACACTTGTATATTGTTACATCCGAGTCATTCTGATGGATCATCATGTGCCTTTTAAGACTGCGTTTAAATTTAGATTGGAAAGAACACATTTCACAAACGAATATTGTTACATCTTGATGGACGAGCATATGTGTTTTAAGATGACCTTTAAATTTCGTTTGATACGAACAAGTACCACACTTGTATATTGCTACGTCTGAAAACTTTTTATGACGCAACAAGTGTCTTTTCATATGTTGTTTATATCTCGTCTGGTATGAACATCCTTCACACTTGTATTCTGCTCCATCTGGGGAACTCTTATGGATCTGCAAGTGCTTTTTCATGGTATATTTAAATTTTGTCTGGTATGAACACTTTTCACACTTATATAGTGAAACATCTTGATGAATTAGCACATGCATTTTAAGATAGCTTTTGTGTTTCGTTTTGAATGAACACTTTTCACATTCATACATTGTTATATCTAAAGGATCCTGATGGATACGCATATGTCCTTTAAGTCTATATTTAAATGTTGTCTGGTATGAACATGTTTCACATTCATATACTGCTACATCTGAAGGATCCTTATGGAGAAGCATGTGCCTTTTAAGACACCTCTCAAATTTTGTATGAAATAGACACGTTCCACACTTATATAATGTTTTTCCTGAAAAGTTTTCATGGAGCAACATGTGCTGTGTTAAATGATATTTCCTTTTTGTTTCATATGAACACTTTTCACATTTGTACACTTTTGCTTCTGAAATATCTCGACTTGCAAGTCCAGTGTCTTGAAAACTGAAAAAAAAAGAACATTACTACCTATTATTAGCGGCGTATCGCAGCTGCTGACGAATTATAACTTATACCATATCTAACAATTTCGGCATGCGACTCATGCCATATTTTAAGATATAACTACGAAGACTAAATAAAAGAAAAAAAATTAAGATTGAAGTTTATGAAAAAAGAGGCCTACTGACTCAGGTTACTTAGTAGACAATTTGTAAAATATTAGCAAAACATTTTTTCTCATAATCAGGAGGAAAAGTTATCAAAAGACTTTGGATTCCGTTTAAAAAAAATTTTTTTTCGTGTTTACATTTTGAAATTTTGTGAATTTCAAAGTATCATAACTACAAAAAAAAGAGTTTTTAACGAAATCTCAAAGCTGTCAATAAAATTTCCTCATTCTTAAAGAAAAATGTTTTACTAATATCTTACGAATTGTCTACAAAATAACCTGGGTTGGCAGGCCATTTTTTACAATTATTTTCGCAAAAATTCATTACCTAGTTTGGATAGTTATATCTTAAAATATGGAATGACTGCCATGCTCCAATTTTTAAATATAGGGTATAACAAGATCATGGTCACCCCTCTTTTTTCTTTAATTTTGAAGATAAACGATTGAAACATCCTATATACTCAATAAACGTCACTTTTTGACATATAAATGATTTTGATTTTCAAATGGAATAATATACATGGTATATTATTGCATTTTTGAATTCTGCATAATTTTCTGAATCCAATGATACCACATAACTGACATTTCAAATATCTGTGTTTTAATTTAATTTTTATTTTTCCATTTAAGTGTGTCACGTCTGTTCTCATTTATTCTAATTGACCCGTGTAATTCTAGAAAAATCGAAATCCCGTCAAAATTGCTAAATTATGTGATTTATGAGCAAAGAAAGTTCATCAAAACAGTTTTTTGTGGTACCATTGGATTAAGAAAATTATGCAAAATTCAAAAATTCAATAATATACAAGGTTTTCCAGTTGAAAATCAGACGTTAGTGTCACTTCAGGTGAAATCAAAAGTGGAAAAAAAATCGTTTATGTCAAAAAGTGACGTTTATTAAGTATATGTAGTAGTAGTAGCTACTTATTTTACTAGGTTAGTAGGCCACAATGGGCCCTTTTTACCTAGAGACCTACAGTTTAGCGTGGACTCGAACCACGGTCCTCGACTGTCAACTAACCCATCGCCTGGGTCTGCCCGCCTGCACCGCTAGCAGTGTGGCAAACCTCCTGGGTAGGTCTCTTCGACCCTCCACCCGGGCTCGCCTCTCCGCCTGCATCAGGCTAGCGGCCTTCCCGGGATTGTCTGTTGACAGCCTACCGACTGTTAGATGAGCTATCGTTCATCCATCTAATTGCCGGACTCGATCAGTGCTGTTTAACTTCACTGATCGAATATCGAAAATTAAACGGATGTCCATACCTCATCCCCTATTATTAAGTATATAGGATGTTCCAAATTTCAACCGCTTATCTTCAAAACTAAAGGAAGAAAGAGTGGTGTACCATGATCCTGTTACACCCGGTATAGCACAATCTATAATTCACCGCTGCCTATTACATTTTTTACTGATAGAAGATTCATATACAAATAAATTTCCATATCTTTGTAGATATAAAGGCACTCACAGACAAGTAGTTCCAGTAATGTTGTCTCTATTACACTTTTTTAAGATGACCGAAACCTGGAATAACTAACCCATATTACTATTACGAGGTAATTTATTCTATACTAATATATCTTAAACACCAATTGTGTGGCTTTGTGGTCGAGTGGTAAAGACATTTGCCTCTCACCCTAGAATCCCGGGTTTAATCCTCGGTCGAGGAGCTAGGACTTTTTCTAAAACCAGAAATTAATCCTAGCATACTCGGACATTGGGTGTGTCCATTGTCTCTAAATGCGTAGCTCTCTTCTACCTTGATCAAGGATACAGGGGGTTGTATCACGTGGTGTTTAATTTAATTTAATCTAATTATTATGGCTTTTCCGGAACATTTACTATATATATATTTTTTTTAGTAAAAATAGACATAAAATCTTTTCAAGGATTATTACGCATTTTTTGGTGACCAAAACCACATTAAAACGTAGTTAGCTCAGGATTACTTGGGTGTGAAGTTTGTTTGCAAATGACAAGTTTCGCAAAAAATTCTTTTGGTTTGAAAATGAAAGATCTTTTAATGTCGGCAATAGAAATTGGGAAATCACGCCTAAATTCGCCCGCTGCTGGCTAAAAATGTCACCTTTACAAAATGAGTAATGCTCTTTATTTACGTTGGTTGAATCACATTTGTATAGTTTGTCGGGGTTCTATTACCGTTTTTTTTTCATCAACGCTTATTCCACAACATGATAAAGAAAACAGTGCATAATACGAATTGTGTGTACAATTGTCACTTTAGAAACAATCGATAGGACAATCCACTTTCAATATTTTCCAAAGAAAGAAGCAGGGTTTGTTTATATCACCAATATTTGTGGTATCGTGGAGAAAATAGATAGAAGAAAAGTATGGTATTACAATCTTAAATGGCAGTATAAGATATAATATACTAAAAGGTCCTAAAGGTCTCACAGATCCTTCTTGATGTGTGAGAAAATAAATATACAGGGTGGGGCAATAGTGCGTCCGACTTCGATATATCGAGTTCTATGATAGCTAGAAACTTGTTGTAAAAACATAAATAAACTAGATAAAAAAGTCTATAACCGGAAATTATTTTCGAATATACAAGGTGAGCCAAGACGATTCTGCAGGGCAAACTAAATTTTTTTTAAATGGAATGCCATTTATATCTGAACATTTTTTGAAACCTCTTTGTGGCCTCCTTTCACTCCTCTATTATAATTGACTCTCCCAACCACTTGGATGTAATGATTTTTTTTCTTGAAATTATGCCATTAACTGCAAAATTCAGCAATAAAAATAAATATATATATATTTTTTTGTAATTCAAGAGAAGATATTATAAAAAAGTGCTCCACATACAACATGTGGAGCACTTGATTGACACATTTCTATGTGTCTTTGGAATGAGGTTTCTACTGTTTATAAAATTGCCGAAGTTTATTATCCTTTCCTTCAAATTTTGGATTGCTGTTGGTGTGACGTTTTTATGGGCATCATGTAATACGCTTATTAAAATACGTTCTCTTGAATTATTTGAAAAAAACCCTCATTTTTAATTTTTATTGCTGAATTTTGCAGTTATTTTTCAATAAATTGAAAATGGTCACAAATAGCCATAGGAATGTTCAAAAAATGTTCGTTTTTCAGTCCGATAACACATCGTAAAAAATATACAGGGTGTTCCATTTGAAGAAATTGAGTAAATTCAGTTCAAAAAGTTGTAAATTTAAAAATCCTTTCTGGCCACCCTGAATACTTGTAGGAAGTCAAAATGGCTGAGTGTTATCACACAGATGTCTCATAACTGGTACTAATATATTTTTTCCAAAAATCGATAATTGTGATTGTAGTGATATTTTTTAATACACGTGTAAAGATATAATTTCAACAAAAAAAATCATTACATCCAAATGGTTGGGTGAAAATCAATAATAATACAGGAGTGAAAGGAAGCCACAAAGAGGTTACAAAAATTGTTCTGATATACATGGCATTTCATTTAAAAAAAACTTTACTTGACCCTGTAGAATCGTTTTACCTCACCCTATATATTCGAAAACAATTTTCGGTTATAGACTTTTTGTCTAGTTTACTTTATTTTTAAATCAAGTTTCTAGCTATCATAGAACTTGAGATATCAAAGACGGACGCACTACTGCCCCACCCTGTACATACAAAAAAAAATAAAATAAATATAATTTATTAATAAAATATCAATAAGGAAAAAACTACAAAAAATTCTTAAAATATAGTAAATATGTAATGTTGTCTAGGGTTTAAAATTAAATTACTAACATTTAAAGATGTACTAGAATTTAGAACAAATTAAACTGCAATATTTCTACTCCTACCGAATGTAATAATTCCAAAATGTACCAGAGATGGCGTTATCGGTACAAAAACTTAAATTAAACGGTCAAGGTGCTCGGGACTTATACTTCGAATTGTTCGAGGAGTCAGGAATATTTAAGAAAGTTCTAGACTGTACATAGATGAATACATAACGCACACAATGGGCCAAGAAGCTCAGTACTGATTTGGAACTGTGCGAGAAAAGAAATCATTATTGTGAATTATTAATTAGTTAATATAAGTAGTGAACCAGGAGTTTCAATGAACAAATCTACGGTTTCAGATGTTTCTGGACACAGCAAACATGTAATAATTTGGCGTCAGAAATGAATTGTAAGAAAACATTTCTATAGAATATTACACAAGGTTCTACATTGTTCTCAAGAATTACTGGTAATATGGACAATTAAACCATAGGACAGTAGTTAAGGACTATTTCTGGACTGAGTATTGACTTTAAACTGGATTTTCGAGAATTTCCACATTCTATCGCTGCAGATACGCGAGTGCCGTTAACTATTGTTAGCGACACTTGCGTATCTATTGTGGACTTGAATAAACAAGATTAAGTGTAATTTCGAACAATTTTTAGACTACACTATTTGAAAATCAACAGAGATAATAAAATTATATTAACAGGGAAGTGTTGTGGATGGAAAAACAAATATTATAAGTGACTTTGTGAAAATTCTGCTTTGATATATTGGAGGTACTTTGCATGATGATCGACTGGTTTGATCAGTGGTAGGCAACAGACTGTTCACTGTTGTCACAATAGAGCACGCTTATCTATACTGAGGGATGCGCACGGTGGTCTAAATATGCTTTTGTCGCACAATCAAATATATTTAAATGCCTGCATACCTGTATTTATTTTTATACTCAGAAATTAAAAATAATATTTTATCATAATCTTTGAGTGTTTATAATATAAAACAAATTATATGTTGTTCACAAATTGACTTAACATTTCTACTAATAAAACTAACGATCATGCTAATACAAGGTGTACCAAAACTCTATTTCTTGAAATTTTACTAGTTTTGCTAATTATTTTCTGGCATTTTCCTCAAATTTCACTAAATAGCTTCATTACAACTTGATCATTCAACTGGTAATTGTGCTCGATAGTACTCCGGCACCTCGAAAAAGTAAACGCATTACATTTAGATATGTTGAGGAATAAGCAGTTTAGTGGACATCAGTTATTTACAGTTTATTTACTTTGAAACTTTTCACAATCTAGTTCTCTTTCTACTACAGAAAGTCATCAGCATATAGTAACCATCAAAATCTTCCATAATATCATTGATAAAGACTATAAACATAAGCGGCCCCAATACATCGTTGGAGAAAACCAGAACCAGCCAAGATGTCGAACAACCTGAAATCATGGTATTCCACATACCGCCGTGTGTTTCCTAAATATGAAATGAAGAAATCTAATTGTGGTATAGACAATCTGAATTTATTCTAACTTTGTATAATACCGTACGTGGTTTATGCGATCAAACGACTTGGAAAAGTCTGTTTAAAAATGTCAATCTATATGTTAACATCCATAGAAATAAACTGCGTGACGCAGACGAGATTAGTTTCAGTGGATCTACTGGATACACTTTGATTTTTTTGCAATCTAACTTTGCACAGGTCTTGATAATGATGTATGTATGGTAATCTCACATCTTTTTGCTTAATTGCTGATAATAGTTGTTATTGACCCATAATTTTCAGCCATATTTCTGTTGAGTATTTTATAAACAGGAGATAAATGGGAATAATAAATTAAATATTAATGATTAGTGGCGGGGTAAAAATATCAGCAGTCTTTGGCGATAAACGCAGGTACCTTTCGTATATTTGGGTCCTATTTTTTTAAGGGATTTATGAACATCTGTTTCAGAAAACATTGTTTCTTTTATATTGTATTATTTCTTTTATATATTATATAAAATATTAAATATAATATACGTAAATATATGGGGAGGTGCCACAAATAAATACCTTGCAACAACGGCGGTTCTTCTATAGGGTCATTTGGTCAATGACCTCCCACATACAAATAAAAAAATAGAGCTATTCATTTAATATTCTTAAAAATATGTATATTATATATTTTTAAACTTCAGAAAAATGAATAGCTCTATTTTTTTATTTGTATGTGGGAGGTCATTGACCAAATGACCCTATAGAAGAACCGCCGTTGCCTTGCAAACTTGCAAATAACACAAAAACACGTATTGAATATAATATTAAACAAACCTTTTACTTATTCAACCGAAAATCGATGTAAGGAAACTAAAATATATGACCTTCGGCAATGATTTTGTCAAACACTGCTAGTAAGACAACACAAAAATAAGTATGAATTAATACAAATTGAACATGAATATAATAAGAGGTATAAAACTAATTCTACTAAACTACCTAAAACTAACAAAACAATAGCACAAAGGTGTTTTACGTGTTTGGGACCCAGATCATATGATACCTTGCCAATTGAATTAAATCAGTTAAACTCATTTGCTTTACATAAAAACAAAATTAAAAAGTTGATAAGCAGAAAGAACAGACTGGACAAACATGAAAATATCCACCATTTAAGAATAAATATTGTAATAATTATATAAATTCAATATATGTTCCTTACTGTTCCAGAAATACAGGTGACATAAAATATACTGTAGTTCTTATGGCACAGACTTTAATTTTTTGAATGTATAATGAAGTTATGATGCTAAAAATATTTCTTTATTTATGGTTTTTTTCTTACTTTATATAAAATATATGTACCCATTAAAACATCTTGTAGTATATTTGGTTTGTTCGTAAAGATGATTTGTGATAG